CCCCTGGAGTTCCACAGCGACCGGGCGCTCGGGGCCCAGGCAGAACACCCGGGGCTCAGCTGCTGCTCTGGATCCTGTGTCTGCCAACACCCCCTCTCCGTCGCGCTGCCCCCTGCTCTGACACCGCGTGCACCGGGCCCCACCCCATGGCATGCGGCCAGGAATCCCCCAGCATCCTGTGGCCTTGCTCCACATGGCTGTAGCCCTGTGGCACTGCTGCTGGCTGAGCCCAGAAGTGCCCTCGCTCCCCGACCTGCCTGCTGCTCCAGGGGCTGGCCTCTGTGGCAGTCAGGGCATGGGCCAGAGCCTGCTGGGATCATCACTTTGGGGGGCTGCAGGCCTAGAGCCCCTGGGGCAGGGGGGCTCTTGCTGTCTCCAGCGAGCTGGGGAGGGAAGCGCATGTGCTACATGCCCAGCTCCTAGCACTGGGTCCTGCCCCCAGCCCCGCCAGGGACGCCAAGGGACAGGCACCTCGGCCCACATGTCGTGGGGCGGCACAAAGGCGCCTAGCACAGAGCGGTCCCTGTGCTCCTGGCAGAGGGCTGGGCCCAGAGCCCTGCTGCCGCTTGCTGAGGCCAGTAGACAGTGGCCCGGCTCAGGCGTCTGCAGGGCGTCTTGTGGGGAGTCCCAGGTCAGCCAGCCAGGCCCCAGGCCCCTCACAGGGACTGGGAGCAGGTGCCTCCAGGGAGCTGCCCTTGCCCGTCCCCAGCAGGGAGCCCGGTGCTCTGCCCTGGGGCAAGGAGACAGGCCCTGAGGCCCTCCTGCCATGAAGTCCATGGCCCAGCCGGTTCTCACCTGAGCAGGGAAGGGGTCTGGACAAAGGAAGGGGCTGGTTTGGGGAAGGGGCAGCCTTGGCGGGAAAACATGAAGAGAAGGGACTAAGCTGAGTACTGGGGTTCGGGGGCCTGTGGACCCACCCCAAGGGGTCTGAGGCTGCCTGCCCCTCGTAGAACCCAGGCCGTGCCGTACCTCACAGAAGCACTAAGCCCTCCCTACTCCACTGGCGGGCGGAGTCTCCTCTTGCAGCAGACGGGGTGCAGGGCCGGGGGGTACCCGACGCTGCACCCCAAGGGGGCGACACGGGAAGCACCGCTCGGCCAGGGAGGCCACGTCTGCACCCACCTCGCTAGCCCACAAAGGGCCACCTGCCCCGGGCAGACGGGCACGCCAGGCTCCGGTGCGTTAGCCACGAGGCAGACCTGTCCAAAGCATGGCCCTGTGTGACGTAGTGTTGGTACCTTGCTGGGGCTGTGAGCGACCCCCACTGGCTGCAGCGCGGCCCAGCAGGGCAGGGGATGAGTCATTATGCAAAGGGGGCTAAGAACCTGTCTGACCAGCTACCCCCCAGGGAGAGAAACAAAGGAAGGGGGATGCCGCCCCGGGCTGGGGGGCAGGGCTGGAGGAGAGTTGGTTAGTCTCTGTCTGGTATCATGGAGGAAGCAGCCTCAGCAAAGGCTGGGGGGCTTCAGAGCCCAGACCCCCCCCCATATCAAGGGGGGCTGAGGCATCCTAGGCCTGCCCTGTAACCAGATTCCATCTGTGCTGGGCTGTATCCTGGAGAAGCAATAAACCACCTCTGTTCTACTGGCTGGTGGAGTCTGTTCGTGCCATTATGGGGGTGCAGGAGACGGGGGACCCCCAATGCACCGTCACACCCTGTGGCAGGCTCCTCGCCCCGGCGCTGGGCCAGAACTCTGGGCATCCTGGTGAAACCAGCCTGCGCCGCCGGCTGCCCCAGGAGGGCCTGTTGTGACGAAGCGGGGTTGTATTGGCTCTGTTCGCTTGTGTTGCATGGGATTTCTGCTGTCCTGTGCTGCTCTCTAGTAACTGGGTGTGTGCCTCAGTTTCCCTGGGCACTGCACGGGTGCCCGGCTGGGAGTTTTGGGTGAGGCTGCCCAGCCCAGCACAGACAATGGCGCAGGCTCTCTTTAAGCTGAACCTGCTGGGGGAATCTTGGCAGGGTTAGATGCAGGGAGGGGCCCTGACTCTGGGCCCCCTCCCCAAGACAGGCTGCACCGGCTGG